TATTTATTTAGTATCTGCTTACTTACTTTTACCAGCCTGAATATTCAAGAAATCTTCTGGTAGGATTCAAACCTACATCTCCTAGGGAAACTGTCATTAGTTCTGACGTGCCTTAAACCAACTTGGTTTATTTGATTCAGATGTCCTACGTGGCTGAGTTGGTCTAAGGCACATTACATCTAATGACAGTTTCCCCTTAGGGGATGCAGGCTTGAATCGTAATGGAGTACACCTATTTTTTTAACAAGTTTTTTGTCAGAGAGCACATATTTTCACTAATAAGATTTCTTGAATATTCAGGTGCCTAGTTGAAAATAAATAAATATACTGTTTAATAAATAAATGAAGTGTCTATTCAAATATGAGTTGACGCTAAAAATAGCATTTAAAGTGATAAAAATCTGTCAGATCGATAAATAAAAATTCCTTACCTTAGAATATATATATATATATATATATATATATATATATATATATATACACTGTTTCAAATTTGTTATATTTCATAGGGAAGAGTGCCTAATATCTGAGATAGTTTATGAAAATAAGTTTCTCAAGTCCAGTAGCTGTTATCGCTCTTTCCAGTGTAGATGGTGGCTTCCTTTCTTGTACTTTTGTTTCAGGTCGTGTTATTATTTTCACTTTGACATACATGTGCTATCTATTTTAGTTGTTGCTGCTGCTAGAAGTCTTCAACTCATGTAGTTTCTGTTATTCGCTAAAAGTTTTTGTGAGTCTCTAGAGGTAGTGCACAGTGTTCGAAGTAAGATGTTCCTCAGTATCTGTATATTTCTGAGATGAGGTATTATGTACACTATTTACATTATTCGGACTATTGTCCTCATCTTTGTTGCCATATTCATCACAACGTTTCAGCCCTTCAATATCTGTCTATATTTCTGAGATGAGGTATTATGTACACTATTTAGATTATTCGGACTATTGTCCTCATCTTTGTTGCCATATTTATCATAATGTTTTGACGTTGTACTCTTTGGTCCTCTTCAGGTGGTTGGAATGTTGGACGTTGTACTCTCTGGTCCTCTTCAGGTGGTTGGCATGTCGGACGCACAGTGGATAAATGTGTTAGTTAGATCCAGTGACATAACCTAAAGAGTGTGAGTTCAATACCTGGTTAAGGTAGTGGAGAACTTGGAAAGGTGAATTAATAGGAGATAACTGATAGCTGACATCCATTAGACATGGCACATGGAACTAGAACAGTCTACCCCAGTGAGTGAAATAAAGCGTTCAGTTCAACATTCCAACCACCTGAAGAAGGTTGGAGTGTCGAATGGCTGAAACATTATTATAAATATGGCGACAAAGATTAGGATGATAGTTTGAACAATGTAAAAAGGATGTTCCTCATTAATATCTATATGTTTTATTTGCTTGAAGCCATTTAAAAAAAAAAAAGATCTGAGAAAATGGTTAGTCTGCAGGATTTCATGGCACTACCTGCTGCTCCCCTTTTATTTTGTCAAGAATTTCCTGTGTCATTCACATGTTCTTGTCTTAATTTAGTAGAGTCACTTTTTTTGCCAATGTCACTTGTGGTTCTGTTAAGGTGTTGCATTTTGAGACCCTGACCGATTGCAAATTTTCATATTTGTTTTTACTGTGAATGCATATGTTTGTTTGCAAATGGAGTCACAGTAGAGTTTGTCACACTGCAGTAAATCTATAGACACCTAAAGAATAATTCCAGTAAACTATGCTATATTTTTTTATCTTTTATTCTCAGAACTGACCGTTACCATAGTATCTTTTTCGGTTCTTGTTTGAAGATGATACACATCATTTTCTGACATGTCTCTTTAAATTGTTTTTGCAAAAATCCAAAAACCAAACTTATGTTTACAAAATAATTTCTCTTTTTTGTTGTTGAAAGAATTTGTGCAGAAAACAGAAATTTTTTAAAAGATAAAAAGATTCTTAAGCAACACAATTTAGCTAAGTTGATGACAGATTTCAAGTTACAACAAATGATTGCATCTTAGAGTTTGCCGTCAAATCTTATCCTCATTATTTACTTTATTTGGACTATTGTCCTCATCTTTGTCGCCATATTTACTACAACATTTCAGCTGTTGTACACTCCGGCCTTCTTCAGGTGGTTGGAATTTCGAACTGAACCCTTTATTTCACTCACTGTGGTAGACTGTTCTAGTTCCACGTGCCATGTTTGATGGATGTCAGTTATCAGTTATCTCCTGTTAATTTCCCTCTGAAAGTTCTCCACTGCCTTAACCAGGTATTGAACTCACACTCCTTGGGTCCTGTCACTGGATCTACCCAACGCCTTTATCCACTGTGTCCTTGAGGATATTGGCCTTATGGTGGGCAGTAACAGTGAGCTGCAAGACGTGACCAACAAACTCATTAAAAGAGCCTTGACACATCGTTGGTACAGTTGGTATGGCGTTTGCCTCCTATCGTAACTGTTTGGGTTTCACTTCTCGGTAGTGGATGAGGACTGCTGATGAGTCCCAAATATAGGACGAAACGGCCATCCAGTGCTTTCTGCATTCTGTTGAGGTTTCTTCTAGACTCAATGGATTACTTAATTATGAATATTTATTATATATATTTTTTTTACCTCTAACCTAGTAATGTCCATTGTCCCCAAAATGAAATGACAGACACTGATGGCTTGCATTATTTACATTATATCTACTTACTTACATTTACCGGAGATCCTACGTGGGTGAGTTGGTCTAAGGTACATCACATCTAATGATTTATTTAGTAAACAGTATATCTACTTATTTACATTTATCAGGCTGAATATTCAAGAAATCTTCTAGCAGGATAACTGCATCTCCCAGGGAAATCGTCATTAGGTCTGATGTGCCTTAAACCAACTCGGTTCATTTGATCCAGAGGTCCTACATGGCCAAGTTGGTCTAAGGCACATCACATCTAATGACAGTTTCCCCTTAGGGGACGCAGACTTGAATTCTAAAAGAGGACACATTTTTCTAACAAGATTTCTGCCAGAGACTGTATATTTTTCACTAATAAGATTTCTGAATATTCAGGCCGCTAGGTGAAAATAAATAAATATACTGTTTGATAAATAAATGGAGTGTTGGCTGGCCTTTCCTGACGATCTGCTTAGGTGAAACCTTGGTAGGTTTGTCTGGCTCTCTAGGTTTAACTAGGTCTGCTCTACTCATTGTATTGAGCACTTTAGTTGTTTTGGGTACTCGCATTGGGGTTTTTTTCTTTGGGTCTTGGACTTGCATGCTGGATGATTACTTTCAGCTAACATACATGTTCTTGGTTCTTTCTTTTTTTATACCTTTTTTTCCGTTTTGGTATTGGCTTGTTTATTTGCAAATCAAGATTCCGAAGGTTTTCTGATATATAGTTTTTCTTATACTTATAAGATTTCTATATATATATATATATATATATATATATATATATAGTTTATGCAAAAACTAGGTAATCCGTATTGGAAGACCCAAGTCATTTTCATTTCAACCTTTGGAAGTAAAGTCTGATGATCCAGAGCCCTTTAAAAGGGCTGTGGTGAAATAATTTATTACATGGAACCTTAAAGTGGTCTGTTTTTATTCATATATATATATATATATATATATATATATATAAAAATTGTTATCTTTCAGGAGCAGTGCCTAATATCTGTTAAAATCCCATATTAACTATATATTTGTCTTTATCTCTGACCTACTAATGTCCATTGTCCCCAAAATGGAATGATAGGTACTGATGGCTTGCATCATTTACATTTATTTATTTATTTACATTATTCAAACTGTTATCCTCATCTTCATTGCTATATTCACATATATGTATGCTCCAACCATCTTCAGGTGACTGGAATTTCAAACTGAACCCCTTATTTCATCCACCGGGGTAGATTGTTTCATGTCTCAGTTATTTCCTTTTAATTCAACTCTTTTGGTTCACCAATGCTGTGGCCTGGTATTGAACTCACAACTCTTTGGGTCTAGTCACTGGATCTAACCAATATCTTATCCACTGGGCCATGACTTTTTGAGACTTATAAACCTAATGTCCAGCATTATTTTTTTTACTAGTGCTCATATTGCAATTTTTGATGTTATTAATTGCTTTTCTCTAGCACTCCTTATTACTGGATTCCATATTGTATTCATTTCTATGCTTGGTCATTTTGAATATGGCAGTGAAGATGAGGATAACAGTCTGAATAATATAAATAATGCAAGTAATCATAATACCTCATCTCAGGGACATAGACAGAGACATTGATAGTTTAAGGAAAATTGTCAAGAAACAGTGAAAATCAATAGTAAATAAGTAAATCTTGTTCACATGATGAATTTTGAAGTTATTGATGTTGGATTCACTCATTTTTACATCTACTTACCTACATTTACCGGAGATCCTACGTGGGTGAGTTGGTCTAAGACACATCACATCTAATGATTTATTTAGTAAACAGTATCAACTCTTTGCAGGTTATTTAAAGCCATAAATATTTTTAAATTGTAAGAATTTTTTTGAGATAATAATGATTTAGTGATACAAGTCTGACTAATTAACCCATAGCTGTGGGGAGAAGAGGTAGAATAATACCTCATCAGAATTAGATAAACAAACAAGAAATTATAATGTGGATATAAAGTGGGGGATCAATTCGAAATTACAATCACTATATAAACTGATCCCTGATTTTGTGACCACGGTAGTTTCTGTACATTTATATTCCAGAGAATGTAAATAAATCTAAGACATGCTTGTATAGCTCATCAGTACTTCATTGATTTGTTATTTATGGATTATCAAACTTTTGCAGAAAATTTTTATATTGATACAAATCTTACTAATTAACCCATAGCTGGGGAGAGAAGAGGAGGTAGATTCATACATTTCCCAAAGGCATATACGATTAAGTGAATATATCAAACTCAATGAGAATTGGAACTTGGCTCTCCAATTAACAATTCTGAGTCATTAACCATTACACCAACCACACACCCAAGCTTACAACATATGGTATTCCCATGTGGTCACCCATCTAGGTACTGACCAGGCTTGATGTTGCTTAACTTTAGTGATTGTACAGGGACCAGTGTTTTAGCATGATCTGACTATACATCTTATTGATATCTGATATGAATACCATTTGCGTTGACAAATGATGACAGGGATATGTGGTGGGGCAAAGGCACCATTGCTTGGGTGGGAAGTAAATAAAAATTAACTAAATACCATTGGGAAATATGCAATTTTGTTTATGTCATTTTAAAATAAGTTTCCATAAATTAAAATAAGTACTTTAAGTACTTTACATGTTTATCTCACATCAGTGTTTGTCACTCTCTCTCTCTCTCTCTCTCTCTTCCTCATTCCTCTAAATTAGCCTATCTCTCTTTATTACTCACTCTCTGCTAATCTCTCTCTTTCTCTCTATTTACCTATCTGTTTTTCTCACTGTTTTTCACTATTTATCTATCTCTCCCCTTTCTATTTAATTACTTCTCACCATTTCTCTCTCTCTTTCCCCATTCTTCTCTACAAGCAGTACAGATTTTGATGTGTTTGGTCCACTGCTGATGTCCTGTCATTACTCACAGAATCAGTGAGGCACTAGATAATAAATATATCTCAAGGATGATTGTATTAAATATTTCAAAGACCTTTGACAAGGCATGGTGTAGATGTTTACTGCACAAGCTATCTAAATGGATAGGTCCTTGAAAGTAATTGTTAATGGCCAGCCCTCAGAAGCATAAGCGATCAACACAAGTGTCCCCCAAGAGGCTTGCTTCTTGGTTCAACCCACATTCTTCTTTATATAAATGATCTGCTTTCAATGATTTCTGAATATCTATACTGATGATACAGCAGTATATGGGTGCACTGCCAAAACTCTAGATGACCAGAGATTGGCAGCTGATCTCTCCTCTGAACTAGCTCTAACAGCTCAGTGGGGGAAAAGGTGGCTGATCACATTAAATACCCTGAAAACCATACGTGATGTTCCGTTATCACCGAGCAGACCCTGAATTTTTACCTCTTACGATGAATGGGTGTTCTCTCAGGGCAGTTCATGCCATGAGTGTCTATTGGGATTTAAACACAACCCAGACCTCAAGTAGAACTCATACATATGATCCTTTGCTAAAGATGCTGGAAAAATGGTTGGTTCCCTATACCACTGCAGTAAGTATCAGACTCCTCTTACTATCCTCTATTTTTACAAGAGCCAGATCAGGCTGAGGAATGGAGGACTTCTGCCATATATGGGCAGGAGCTACACAGTCTTTGCTTTCTACTCTTGGTAGATTTCAAAAGTGTCTCCACGTCCTTGTGGTTTACAAATTATTTCCCACCCTACAACCCCTTTCCTCACAGACAAAACATTGTAAGTCTATCACTGTTTCCATGGAAAGTCTTCAAACAAATTACATTCCTTAGTTCCACTAGTTCTAACCTTCATGGCTAAGACTGGAAAAATGCACATTGTAATAAAACACCTTCATTTTCTTTATATTCCATTGATGAGATGTAAGTTCCACTTGAACAGCTTCTTCCTATGTACTGCTGCTTTATGTAACTGATTTGCAAGTGGGTTATTCTCCAATTGCTATGATCTTAATCTGTTTAAGTCTAATGTTAACTATTATCTTCCCCATATAACCCCATAAACTGTGCTTCTGACTGTAACCCTCTACCTCGAGTGGCTCTTGCGCCTTGTACAGGGTGAACATTATTGAAAAAGAGAACTAACCAGTCTTTCTCTGTTCCTATTTACCTCTGTCTCTACATTTTTATCACTCTATTCCTATTTGCCACTCTCTCTTTCCACCATTCCTCTCTTTTTACCTATCTTCCCCCTATTCCTTTCTCTCTTTCAACCATTTCTCTCTTTTTACCTATCTTCCCCCTATTCCTTTCTCTCTTTCCACCATTCCTCTCTTTTTACCTATCTTCCCCTATTCCTTTCTCTCTTTCCACCATTTCTCTCTTTTTACATATCTTCCCCTATTCCTTTTCTCTCTTCCACCATTCCTCTCTTTTACATATCTTCCCCTATTCCTTTCTCTCTTTCCACCATTCCTCTCTTTTTACCTATCTTCCCCCTATTCCTTTCTCTCTTTCCACCATTCCTCTCTTTTTACCTATCTTCCCCTATTCCTTTCTCTCTTTCCACCATTCCTCTCTTTTTACCTATCTTCCCCTATTCCTTTCTCTCTTTCCACCATTCCTCTTTTTTACCTATCTTCCCCTATTCCTTTCTCTCTTTCCACCATTCCTCTCTTTTTTACCTATCTTCCCCTATTCCTTTCTCTCTTTCCACCATTCCTCTCTTTTTACCTATCTTCCCCCTATTCCTTTCTCTCTTTCCACCATTCCTCTCTTTTTACCTATCTTCCCCCTATTCCTTTCTCTCTTTCCACCATTCCTCTCTTTTTACCTATCTTCCCCCTATTCCTTTCTCTCTTTCCACCATTTCTCTCTTTTTACCTATCTTCCCCCTATTCCTTTCTCTCTTTCCACCATTCCTCTCTTTTTACCTATCTTCCCCCTATTCCTTTCTCTCTTTCCACCATTCCTCTCTTTTTACCTATCTTCCCCCTATTCCTTTCTCTCTTTCCACCATTTCTCTCTACTTTTCTTTCTGCTTCTCTCTATTAATCTAAATTCCCCATTATGTTTTCTCTCTTTCTCTCCATTCTGTTTACGTCTCCGTGTGTCTCACTAATCACCACTCTCTCACTATTCTTTTCTCTATTTCTTTCCCTGTGTTTTTTTTTCTCTATATATCTATATGCTTATCTATCTCTGGATGAAATGTACAGCTTCAGAAGCTGACTAATCTGAAGGAGTAATTAAAAGAAAAATCTTGTAGTTCCAACAAATTTGTTCTTTTTTTTGTCACTCCTTCATTGGAACTACAAGTTTTTTTCTCTTAATTATGCAACTACCAATGGAGACAAGCATCCTAACTTTAATCTGAAGGAGATTAAATGTTGAATTGATATGTGTTATAGTTTTCTTTTAATATCACCAGTCGCAGTACTTTTTGATCAGACGTATTATCTCTTTACAAAATGCAACTAAAAATCTGATTTCTAATTTTAGAATTAACTTTCAAAATCATTTAATGAGCTCATATTTTTCATAAATTTTAGTAAAACACTCATTTATACTATTAATATTGTATACACTATTGCTCTTATCTTTGTTGTTATTTTGGCTGGTGTGCTCTCCAGCTTTCCTCAGATATATATTGAAATGAATAACCTACAGAGAATTCTGAACTGATCCCTTCATCTATAGGAGAAGATTGTTTCGATTACTCTGCTCATGTCTAGGGATATTGTCTTATTTTTTAAAATTTAGTATTGCTCAGTTATTGTTCACCTGTTTCCAGTGAGTGTAAGTACACACTGCCCAACTCAGGAATTGAACTGACAATCACTAGGGTACCAAATTCATAAACCAATACTTTAATCCACTAGGCCACTTATTTATCTTACTTTTTTTTCTTAATTTTTAAAAAAAATATTTTCTAGTATTTTTAAAGGATTGTGGGAAATTAACGAGTTTCTTTTTTTCCTTAAATCAGACTTCATGAATTTAAGCGTTCTACTAAGCTGGCATCTCACTCACACCCTTTTACTGTCGAAACTGTTAAATTGTTGTGGAGTGATTTCACAGTGGAGGCTTGTATTTGTACTAAGTCAGTCCTAAAATAGGTTCGACGTACAAAATGTTAGGAACTTGATATAATAGGTAATGACGCAGAGAAATCTAGTGGTGGTCGCTGATACTTTAGTATCCGACTAACGGTTGTCTGGCATCGACTGACTAACCCACTGAGTGACTCTTACTACTCTTACTTATTATAGGTGGGAGAGTCTATTAACTAGAGAATAGGTGTATTCCACTATAACATAAATGTAGCCGTCTCTTCTACTCCAATAGCTTCATGTCTTGCACCTCTCACCTGTGGAACTCCCTCCCCTTTTCCTGTTTCTCTGATAGCTATAATCTCCAACTATTCAAATGTAATGTCAATCAACGTCTCCAGATGCCTTGATCTATCCCCTATTCTTCTCTTCATCCTTTCCTCTATCACTCCCATTTGCTCTCACTCCAACTCTCTGTAACCCCTTGCGTGCTAATGCCTTCCCGCCTTCCTTAGGGTGAAACACTTAATATAAAAAATACACATTTAGAAAGGTGATTGTTTCTATAAAAAAAAAAAAATCTGTACTTTTTCCTTTTGTCTCATTTTGTTTGAACAGGTGAGCCTAATATTTTCTGGTTGAGAACAAGAACCATGAAGATAATATTTATTTGGTGTTAGGGATTTAAAAAAGGAGTCAGAAAACTATTTGCTTGAGTCGGCTGGCCTGTTTATGCTAGTTGGCATACAGTGTTTACTTACATAGATTATACGTGATGACGATCAGATCATTTTTTTTTCCTTGACGTCTAGAGTTTATATTTGTCATTCAAAGCATTTTGGCAAGCTGTGTCTGTTTTTCTATGAAAGGACTTATAGTGTACATTGCAAAACGATTGCTGAAAGATAAAATTTATTGGAGAAATTTTAAACTACAGATAATATTTATTTATCATTTATTTATGATTAGAGATAATTTTAAAAAGAAGTAAGTGATAATATTTATTATTATCATTTATTTATGATTTTATGATTTTTAGAGATAATTTTAAAAAGTAAGTGATAATATTTATTATTATCATTTTTATTTATGATGATTAGAGATAATTTAAAAAGAAGTAAGTGATAATATTTATTATTATCATTTATTTATGATTAGTAAGTGATAATAATTTTATCATTTATTTATGATTAGAGATAATAATATTTATTATTATCATTTATTTATGATTAGAGATAATTTTAAAAGAAGTAAGTGATAATATTTATTATTATCATTTATTTATGATTAGAGATAATTTTAAAAGAAGTAAGTGATAATATTTATTATTATCATTTATTTATGATTAGAGATAATTTTAAAAGAAACTGACACACAGATCTGGAATTATTTTAAAAAAGGTATTTTGTTCATTAGTGTTGAAACTTGGATAAGCATGGAAT